GATTACAATCTTTACAAGAAATTTCATAAATACCCGACCTTTCTAGTGGAGGTGTTTTATCTTTTGGATTACCTAATAATTGTTGTAATTTATTATTAGCACTATACACAAGTTTATAATTGACATTCTTAAAAATTCCTTTTAGACCACGGGATAACTCTCTATCAAACGGTATCGAAAAATATTTAGACGTATCTTTCCCCACTTGAAAAGTCGAACTTTCAGAAATCATTAACCTATACCTACGTTTTCTAATTAATTTATCAACTAATGAAGGAGAATATCCATTACACTCAGCTACATTCCTAATATAATCTCTTTCTATTTCATATCTTTCGTTGGAAAGTGGGAAACTAAGTAATATATGAACTAAGAAATTTAAACTAGCCATTTTATGTTCAACACTATGATGTGATTCATTAGGAATATATCTGCGTGTGGTCGTATTTTTCCTATAGATATCAAATTCCAGGCAATTATTAGTATTTCTAATAACTAATACATCTAGAAATGGTAATCTATCGTTGTTCTCAATTTCATGCGTAAATTTAATGGAAGGAAAACGATTATTTAACTTAGAAATAAAATTATCTATGGTGTCTGAATGTGTGTCAAAAACAGCAAAAATATCATCCACATACCTAAACCATACTCTTGGAAAATACTCAAACTGATTCTTAGCCTCCACTTCAAACCTGCTCATGAATAAATTAGCCAAAAATGGAGACAATGGATTATCCATTGCTGTACCTTCCCTGTTCCTCATTTCATAGCCAATATGCATCATACTGTAACAAAACCCACCTTATCCGAATTATTTTTGTTTTTTTGTTTAAAAATTAAATATTAATTTTTATTTCTAGAAAAAGGAGATACAAAACTAAGAGCAAACTATGAACAACCGCAAATAGGGACATATAGAAGATAGAATTCTTCTTGTCAAAGTCTCAATGTTCAAAAATTAAAAATTTAAACTTAAAACCATCAATAACTTTAAAAAATGACTCTTTAAAGAGTCATTTTTTAAAGTTATTATTGCGATCTTGTGAATTTAATTTAAATTTTATGATGAGAGAGATAATTATGGAAAAATAACGTTAAAAACTTAAACAGCGTCCAAAACTTTTCCAGTGGCGAAAAACTTTTTTCAAGAAAATTTTATCTGTATCACTGTGGACGTGGACATACATAGACAGAATATTTCAGTCCATTTATGTATGTCAATATTATCTTAATTAACAGCGGTAATCTTTGTTTTCGTTACATAAACAGTTAAATAGACCGTTCTCGTTGAAATTGACTGTTGAATGTAAACAATGCGAATATTTAAACGGCAGTCTCGGATCTAGTTAGCCTGTCGTTTACACAATGGCGGCATATATGCGAGAGAGAATACATTAAATAATTTAATTACTTAACGCCAACAATTACTCAAGGGGCTCCGATATGAAGAAACGAAAAATGGGCGTGAAGTAAAAGTATTTTTTTCTTTACAGGAATTTATTTTTCTTTCGTTTTGATTCGTCTCTCTTTAAATATGATTGTGATATTAACCCACATATTTGTTGAAGTGCTAATTGATCTAGAATATTTATATTTTAAAGGTTTGAATAATTAGTGTTGATATTAATATTTCAGTTTAGATTGGGTTGTCTATTAAATATATAATATGTTACGTAAGTTAGGGTCATTAGGAAGATTTATTTATTATTAAATAATCATTAGGAGGCTTGTTTAGTACCTTATAATATACTATTCGATATGCAGTGTGTCTCTGCCGAGGCTAATTAAGAAGATTTATTCATTATTGAATAATCATTAAGGCGCGATTCTTGGAGTCAAGTGAATTGATCAAGTCACAGAAATTCTTCTTCTTTCTTCTTTCTTCTTCTTTCTCAGCCTGGTTCCATCCTGTGTTGGATATAGGCCTCTTCGAGGTTTTTCCATGCTTCGCGATCTCTAGCCAATCTTATCCATTGTCTTCCCGCCACTGCCCTGACGTCATCGACCCATCTCTTTTTTGGTCGGCCCACACTTCTTGTTGTTCTCCTAGGTCTCCATAGGATTACTTTTTGGGGCCATCGGTCTGGATCCTGTCTTGCCACATGTCCTATCCATTGCCACTTCAGACTTGCCACTCTCTTAACGACATCTATTAATTTTGTTTTTTGACGTATGTGGGTATTCCGTATTTTTTCCCTAATGGTGACTCCCAACATGATTCTTTCCATGGCTCTTTGTGCTACTCGTAGTTGTTCTGCTGTTTTTCGAATAATTGCCATTTTAGGTTCATGGGCACCTTTTTATCCTTGAAAATATCGCTCATATTTCCAAATGCTACCCATTCCAAATGGATCCTGCGTTTGATCTCCGTATTTTGGTTTTCCTTGCCCAGCTTGATTTTATGACCTAAATATATATAATGGTCTACGTTTTCAATAATAACGTTGTCCACGGTATGTTATGGATATTGTTGCTCATTATCTTGGTCTTCTTCAAGTTCATTTTAAGGCCAATTTTCTGGGATTGGTCATTTAGCTCATTTAGCATGGTGCTTAGTTCTTGAATGTTGGTGCTCAGCAAGACAATATCGTCTGCGAACCTCAGATGGCTAAGGTGTACCCCATCGATGTTTAGACCTCTATTTTCCCATTCTAATTTCTTGAAGACATTTTCCAGTGCCAGTGTAAATAACTTGGGAGAGATGGTATCTCCTTGTCTCACGCCCTTGCCGAGTAGTATTTTTTCTGTTTTGAGGTCATCATCTAATTTAACTTGGAAGGTTGCACTATCATAGATATTTTTAATAATGGAATAATATCTGGAATCAATTCTCGCGTCCTCCATTGCAGCTAGAAATGACCAGGTTTCGATGCTGTCAAAGGCTTTTTGGTAGTCTACAAAGGCCAAATGTAGAGGTATATTGTATTCTGTTGTTTTTTCAATGACTATTTTAATTGTTTGTAGATGATCGATGGTACTAAAACCTTTTCGAAAGCCTGCCTGTTCTATTGGCTGATAGGAATCTAGTTTCGTAGACAGTCGGTTGTTGATAATCCTAGTGAAGGGCTTGTATAGATGCGAGAGAAGACTTATTGGTCTATAATTCTCTATATTTGTAAAATCTCCTTTTTTGTATAATAGCACAACTTCTGCGCTTTTCCATGCGTCCGGGATTCTACCCTCCATCAGACATTTATTTAACAATACCTCAACGGCATCCACTAATGGTTTTCCGCCCATCTTCAGCATTTCAGGTGTAATACGATCTTCTCCTGGGCTTTTGCCATTTTTTATTTGTTGAAGTGCGTATTTAATTTCTGTGGTTGATATTTCTGGCATATCTTCTGATCCTACGTTTATTTATATAATATAACGTAGGAACGTCGTATTATTTATATAACGTAGGAACGTAGGATCACAGAAATTCAACTGACTTGAAATCATATTCCGGGTTTACACATTATTTCTAGTGATGTAAAGGGTAATATTACCGGTAATTTTGGTAATATTACGTATTATAACTGCAAGATCGGTAACATTGGAAATCTTTTTCCGGCTCTACTCTTTTCCTTTTTTTTGGTTAAACAAGATGAGACTGCTTTGTTTCTTGTCTAAAAAGCTTTTTGGACATTAAACACTCATTAAAAAGCTTAGCAGATGATGATAGCTCAAATATTTCTGATGTTCTTTCACCAAACACATAATAGACCGAGAGCTGGCTACATAAAAAATATTATCATCGTTACATGTCTAATTTTTCTTGTGAAGTCTCCTTATGTGTAGCCATTATGAAATAGTCATGTCTGCCAACGCGATCCCGGGGTTAAGGCGGGGGCGGCCAATCGAAAGGGTGAAATTTTGACACTAAAAATATTATATGGTACACGAGTTATAATTGCCAAAGATCTTTTATTTATTATTTAGAAACGTCGAAAATTGTTGGCAGACATTTTTCTCGTGGCTAAAATGCCGGCAGACAACGCGAAAGAGGCATGAAATTTTAACAAAAAAAAAATAATCGCATACATGCATGCCGATTGATGGAATGTCATATTTATTTACTTAAAAAGCCGTATGCAAAAGGGCAGATGAAAAAAATCGTGGCTCAATCAGCTGTAGACAGTTATCAAAAGCGCGATATTACTCTACAGGGTGTGAGTCTTGGATAAGTGCAAATATTAAGGGAAATATATTCAAGGCTGGTATCTCGACAAAAGAAATATATAATGGCTACACATAAGGAGAATTTTTTTTTTTAGAATTTAGAATGAGTGGGAGGGGGGTTAATCACTTCGACCTTACAGATCCATTGTGTCCCCCTTTCTTGAATCATAACTCATCATACAGTCCCAGGGCTTTGACAAAAGCCAGTATCTGGGACGGTTTTATAGAGGGTAGTTCTCCATCTCCAATATCAGTCGTACCAAAATTCATGGCACGAATGGTTGTCGTCTCGGCGCACTCAGTGATGAGGTGTACTGGTGTTTCCCATCTTCCCCACAGAATCTGCATTCGCCGTTTCTTCTTAGTTTCAATCTACTGAGGTGTTCATTGAGGAGACAGTGTCCTGTTAAAAACCCGTGACAATCCGAAGATTGTTCTTACTCAGACCCAGGAAGATCTGTGATTTTTCTTGATCATAAGCCCTCAGAAACTTCTTCGAGTGTCTTAGACCATTGCAAGATTTCCATTCCAGGTTGCGGATGGAATCTTCCAAGTTCTTGAGTTCCGCCTTGAGTTGGTTACCACTTGGAAAGCAGAACGGTTCTGGTCCAGTTTACACATAAGGAGACTTCACAAGAAAAATTAGCCATGTAACGATGATAAGGTTTTTTATGTAGCCAGCTTTTAGATTATAAGCCCTCTGCTTCGAAACGAATTTTGGCTACAAACACAAGCAACTTATGACTTGTTCAAGCCAAAAAAACTAGACGCAAAAGAAGAATATATGGGTCATAAACATTAAATATATACTAAAGTTACTGTTTTTTTTTCAGGTTGCTGGCAAAGCGGCCCCCTACTACATGGGCTCCACGTCCAACTTACAACGCGGAGCCCCTTTTCTACGGACGTACTCCCCCGCAGTGTCCAATCTTCCAGCGGACAGGATGAAACCGCTCCCTACAGGTCAGTCGACTAGTCCCTCATATCCCTATCATGTCCTTACGTAGTTATTGATTATAATTCTTATTATTATTATTACGTTTCGTTTTGTCCTCATCGAAATGGTAATGTCGTTGCGTAATTCAGTATACAGTGGGTGTCAGAAACTATTTGAAGTCAAAAAATTGCAGTATTTCAGAGTACCTTGCTACTCCCAAGGCGTTAAACGCTATATATGGCAGCTATTATTATAAATGAAACATTAAATAAATAAAAAACATTTTATATGGAATTAGATCATTTATTTTATCTTACTGTATAACCGTTATTTCAATTGAAATTTATAGTATATGGAATTATCTCTTTCAATTCTTTTTATCTACTTTTGTTCAATTGAAGAAAATTGCAGAAAGTCAATATACTTTTTCCAAGCTCTATGTGTATACTTCATTAGAGTCCATCGACGACTTTTGGCATATCCGAAATTAAATTTTGAAATCGTTCCAAGATTTTACTGCTATCGTCGGATTTCGTTGCAAAACTTTTCGAATAGTTTCTGGCATTTCACGATATCTCTTTCGAATGCGGAATGGCGAATATCTATCAAGCATGAACTCTATCAGGAGCGATACTATGCAAGCCGTTTTACTTTAATTTTTGTAATATTTTGAAAATTACTGATATTTAATATTTGTATATTTTTTTAAAATACTTTGTTGCCAACTTTATCTGTATCTAACCAAACAACGATTTAAAAATTATTATGTTAGATGTAATTTTGAACTAAACATTACATCTATGGAAGGGCTTAAATTTTTCCAAAATACCTACATATTTTTTTTTAAATTTCTAAATCCTTGGCGACCGTTAATTTAACCAAAAATTGATGTACGACTTTCTCTTATGACTTGTAAATCTCTATCCCATAAAAAACAGTGGCGGAGAGAAATTAAACTCAATTAAATTAGAACTAAATTAATAATTAATATATATACATCATTACATAAATTTCAACCTCAATCAACCTTTCAAATAAAATTAATATAGGCTATCTCCCCATATTATCTTTACAAAAGGAAAAACTTAAATTGAACAAAAAACTTCTAGTTTGCTTCAATTAACAATACCATTTTTTGATTTTTATTTTCTAATATTTATCTATAGCACCATTACAACCGGAGGAATAAAATTAATCAGTTATATCTTTTGATATTTTCAGGTTGTCCTTAGTTTGTCTTGTATAAATTTATCTCATCTTAGCTTTCATAGTATAGCTCCTGAAAGTTATAGGAATGCTGCTTCTTCCTGTTTTACTTTGGATAATGTATTTTGTTTGAAAAGTTTCAGTTTTTCATGTACCTACAACGGAAAAAATGCGGTCAGTTTGTATTATGCAGGGTGTTTGAAAAAACGTCTCTCGTTAGGAGTTTTCTCACGTTTTATTTTTCATATCAACATAGTTCCGATTCTGCTTTGTTTCGTAGCTACAAGTTGTCAAAAACTTAATATTTTTATCTTTCGATTTATGATAATTTTCTCTCAAGTACTTTTAGTGATTCGGACCTATGTTGATATGAAAAATAAATCTTATTTTTACGTAAGGAATCTCCCCACGAGACATGGCACATGTTTTCTGAAACACCCTGTATAACATAATTAATTAAAATAAGATTCATAAAAAAATAATTAAAGAAAACAGAGATCATTAATCTGAACCTTTCACTGGTTGCACCAATGACTTTTTATTAATTTTTAATGAGCATATTTGGACGAGTGACGAATATTTCCGAAATGCAAATTTTGAAAAAACATTTTGTAATCCTAAATTACTTTCTCCCCAAATATAAGTGATAAATTATGTAAAGGATATGGTAATGATCTCACGTATAATCTTATTTATTGGTTTACAAATTTGAAAATCTTCACACGTAGCTGATGTGATATAAATGGTAATAAGGATCATAAAATGAAGTCAAAATTTTATATAATGGATTTAATATCTCATGGGTAAATCAAAATTTATAAATAAATTTATACAGGGTGTTTCGAAAAACATGTGCCATCTCTCGTGGAGAGATTCCTCTCATAAAAGTAAGATATTTGTTTGTTGTTCTCCAACAATTGAACAACAAGATCTAATACTTATAAGAGGGAAAGAAAATTAAGTGCTGCACAAAATACAAATATTTGGGTATGCAAATCACAAATAATGTAAGTTTTACGTAAGGAATCTCCCCTCGAGAGATGACACATATTTTTGAAACACCCTGTATATTGTACTACATTACTTTTTATTTATGATAAAATATTTATTTCACTTTTTTTTAAACAGAACGCGTTATAATAATCTCGGAACATACTTTAGGCAAAAAAATAGTTTCTTAAGTAAAAAATGCTAATAAAAAAATTGATCCCCTTTGTGGCGTTTCCCCAAGGTGCTCCCCCGAAACCGCAGCGCGCATACAGTGGCGTAGGGAGCGGCCGCAACTCGGCTGACGGCCCCCCCAGACCCCCGGACCGGTTCGCCCCCTTCCAAAGGCCCGCCAACCCCCTTTACGTGCCAGGTGGGTCCCGACCACCGCAATCTAACAGTTTCCTGTATCCTATTTCTTGGAGAACTAACTGGAACGACAAGTTTGACAACAGAGAAATTGTATATGCTGTCGTTTCGGGGTATAGTTCTCTTTCTCGTTCCTTTCATGTAATTACGCAGAAAAAAATACGTAAAGAGGTACACTAAGAAAAATAATTTTATTCCACCACTTTCTAAAGTATAAAACAGTTTTTCCTAATTTTTTTAAATGGAACCGCTAAAAATTCTAAAATACTTTAAATACAAAAATTTTCATTTTTTGATTCTCCATCTAACAAAGATTTTAATTCTCCATCTAACATACAGGGTTCTATTAAAAAAAAACTAAGAAAAATTATTTGACATTTTAGAAAGTTTGGCATAGAATTTTGAACACTCTTGAACACACTGGTTTAAGATTACAATATTTATAGCAAAGTAAGTACAGACCAACATTAGTAAATACCTAGTGTAGTTTTGATTTCAGGACATTTCTTGTATTTTTAATATATATTTTTTTAAAAAGTTGATTTTTTTATATATTTCATATCAATTAATCTTTTTGAGCCACTCTGTAGAAGTTAAATTATTTTCTTAAAATACATCCTAATACATACTTTAGGTTTGCACTTATTCAAATTCTTAAGTTTTTTATTATAGGAGCTACAGATGCCCGACGCATTGTTGCCGGACGCGTATAAAGTATAGTAGGAAAAACTTTGAACCGTGGCAACCCCTGTTTGTGGCAACTTTTTGATTGGCACCCTGTTAAAAGTGAATTCATAAAACTCTATTCATAAATAGACGTAAATATTAGGTTTTGATTAAAATATGATGAGCGTGATAATCCTGCAGCCGGATTAATCAACAAATCTTGTATAAATCAACACCATGTCATGTAAATTATAAAAAGGCATCAAATGGACATGTTTGTCGTTTGTGAGTTGATATATCGATTTGGCAATTTTTATGATTTATTAACACTTTGATGATTTTTTCATCATTCACATTGCAAAAAACAATGACGGTAACTTCTTAAGATAATATACTTTATTGGTTTTTTAATGTTTCTTTTTAATATTGTACTTTAATGTTTCTATTATTTAATTTTCTTGTATCTATGTGAAAATGACAAGTTATACATATTCATTCACTTATACTTTTTGGAAACTATATTCTTTAAAAGTAGCGAACCTACTACTACTAACTACTTTACAGAAATTTAAATTTTTTAAGGGTTAAAAAATACATTCCTTAGTATATTTTTTTCTGTGTATACTACCTATCCTTTACCCCTCAAATGTTTAAACAAATATTTAATACATATGTAAATATTTTTAAAATTTATTAAACAAGTTTTTAAGCGTTTTTTTTTATTTTTTTTATTGAGCTAGGAGGCTGCGTTTTGTGTCCATTTTTTTGTGAAATTGATTTATTGAATAAATTTATATTTTCAATAGATATTGATCACACATTATTACTTTTTGTCTCGACTTCCGCACCTCATAATACATATTTTTGTGATTTGTCATTTATTTTTGAATCGTGGCCAAACTAACCCGTACAAAGTGTCTAATGTCATCTGAAATTTGATAGTTCATATTGTTTTTAGACATGTATATACATTGAGACACTCTGTACTTCAATTTTTAACATAGTATGCTCCCCTTAAATCCTAAATAATCCCCAGTAGTTTGTAGTTTTAGTGCAGAAATGCAGTAGAAGTAGTTTGAAAAGAACTATTGCAGCAATTGTACATAAATCATAATCAATGATGTCGTGAATATTTTTGCAATAGTTGTATCGACTGTTTATCGTATTTAATATTTATTATGTGTATAATTGAACTAGACGGATATATGTCATCACCTGAACGAAGCTCAAGATATGAAGATCCATATTATAGTCAGTACGGTACGAGGTCTGGATCAATAACGCCAGTAATAGATGAAGAGATAAGGTAAGATTTGTGTATAAATCTTCGAATAAAAAGATTAAGGAATTAAGAAGGCCCTAGAATAGTCGACTTAGTTAATTTTAAGTGAATTTCATAAATTATCCGTTTAGGTTATTCCATTATTTCCCCCGATTTTTGACCGAGATCCACCGCACGCTACACAATCAACTATTTTACAGTCTTTTTTAATAAATCGCAATAGTGTCACTGTTCATTTAAGTTCTGCCACAATTTCCTTCGTGATTTACTACCTTTAAATAACTAACAGTAGTAAAATAAATAATAAATAACATAAAATAAGCTCAGTAAAGACTGACAAATCCCCAAAATTTTATATCAAATTCAAATGTGTCAAATGAATCGTCAAACAGAATCATCAAGGATTCCCACCCTAGGGCCCTTTGGATATGGATAGCATTATAGTCCTTCCTTAATATTTTTATTCGAAAGTAAAAATATACCGTATGATCGAATAAAAACGGCGTCAAGGATGGCTATGAAATGAAGATCGCTGTCATTTTATATGTAAAATTATATGGGAAATGTCATCGATCGTCATTTCCAATCCAACTGGACGCCGTTTTTTTTTCGATCATATGGTACTATTTGGTAGTAGTCGAAATAGACATAATGCCTCTACTTCGCAGGTAAAATTACTAAAGACCAATTAATTAAATATTACTAAATAATAAATCGATCGTATCTATACGACATAAATTTTTTATTACTCCAAAAGTACTAAATGAAATTTCCTACGAAGAAATTCGACGTTTTTATTGACACAGTCAATAATAATTCAGTTTTATATAACGTGCGCCATGGATAACATATGGTCCCATGCATAATGTGTGTAAATAATCTAGCGGAAATAATAAACGGTATCATAAAAAGTAAATAAATCCATTTTGCAAAACGGAACGCATAAAATAGAAACTTTAAATAAAACGATTTAACGAGTATAAATTTGTTAAGTAGGGTTGAATGTGAAGTAAGAATTAATGATGAATTAAATAATTTTCAGTGATACGGAACTTTTAGACGACTCTTACTCTTTGTACGGTGTCAAAGTACCACCCGGAGCACCACCTAGGACACCAAGAACGGGATTTCCGACGCCTGGAGCAGTACCTTATGATGCAACGAGGTAAATATTTGTATTACATGATATTAGCATGCGATCTTTTATTTTGAAATTAAAATCTTACAGTGACCAAGATTTCACATTATGACGGTTAATTTATAAAAGGCAACTCATTTAACTTTTTGGAGCATAATGTAGTTTTATATGGTATTACCAAAAGTATTACAACAGCCTATTTACATTTACGCAGCTAGTCAACTCACGATCATTTACACAGTCGATCGACTAAAAATTGGATGTCAGCACCTAACCCATAGATAAATGAAACAAGTTTAGATGGGAAAGTCACCATTAGGACAATGTAAACACTATTTGGCGCTATTCTTGCAACGGTCGCGACCCAAAGCTTTTGAAAATTTCGGAGCAGTTCGGCTTTTTCCGGAATTATATCGCCAAATATTATTTGTCTCTTCAATGAACACCTCAGTAGATTGAAGCTAAGAAACAATTGGCGAATGCAGATTCTGTGAGGAAAATGGGTGCATGGGACAACCATTCGTGCCATAAATTTTGGTACTACTGATATCAGAGATGGAGAACTAACCTGTATAAAGACAGTCTCAAATACTGGCTAAGGGAAACACAATAGATCTATAAGGTCGTCAATCTACAATCCACTTTGAATAACATATCCAGTATATTATTACTGCTGACTTATTAATTCTGTTGTTCTTATATTCACTGATTTTTTTCTAGGTTACGTGTTGAAAATATGGAACGTCAACTGGCCAACCTCACCGGATTGGTCCAGAAAGCCTTAACACAGCCGGCAACGTTGCAAGTTCCTACCAGAGACGGATACAGAGGTAATTTTCTTAAACAATACAATATAACAACATAGAGATCATGTTTATTCATGTTTATGTGTGCCTTGTATTTGTATTCATGCACTGGGAAAGACACAAAACGATGTGTGATTTTTTAGCGAATTTTTAGATGCTAGTTATCGGTGAATGTTTAGACAAAATAGCGAATTTTTTGATAAATTTCAGTTTCTTATAATTTTCCATCGCCATAAATTATTTTTTTTGTCTGGAACAATAATTATTAGTACTTATTCATATTTCCAATTGGAAATTAGAGAAAGATCAACAACATATTTAAAATAGTTTTGAAATTGAATATGTTTTAGAATTATTTTTCATCAAAGAACATTTTGCTATTTTAATGTTTTCTATTAATTAAATCTTTAAAACACTTTAAAAGCAAATAAAAATATGACAATTTTTAACATGTTTATTATTGTTTATATCGACATACCTACTATAAATTTTCAAATGTTTATTTTATCATTTTCACCAAAATAAATATTAAAGTTTTCTCTAAAATAAGAAACTAGTATTATTTATTAAAAATAAAAAAAACTTGAAATATCTTTATTGAAAAAAAAACATCAGATTAATTTAAATATCAATATTTTGAATCAAAACTATGATTCATTGCAAAATATAGATGTTGAATGTTTTAGAAGATATTTTATACAATCCGTAACCACAGGGTCTATTAATGTATTTAGTTAAACCATTTTATTATGATTTCTCCTATTTTCTATACCTAGGTAATTATGGTTTTCCTATTAAGTTCTGTGAGATTCCTTCAGGGCAAAATAAAGTGCAACATTTTAAATCTGTTATAATAAAATTAAAATTCTAGTCATTGTTTATGAAAATACATCTACTTATACAGGATGTCCAATTATTCCGGCCACATATAACTACTAAGTTTGTTGGAATCAAAATATGTTAATTAGTCTTAATATTCGCATACCTCTATATAAATAATATCGTATACCTCTATATAAATAATATAATGTTTTGTCTGTCAGTTACAAGAAATTACACATTCAATTGTTAAGGGTAGAATACTTATTGCATACTTTTTGATCAATCTTTTTTAAAATACATAATTTTATATTAATTTGTCATAATTTAATTTAAAATACACTCAGATTGTGATATGTATCTACTAAATATAATTAATAGACACTGTGTGAAAACTTTAGTGTTATAATAATTCCGAACATAAAAACCGCATTTAGAGATTCATCCAACGCATATTCACTAAGGTTTTTGATTAAATAAAAATTATCCATATCTCATTATCATTTATCATCATCATTATTGTTGATAGTGTTAATTTAATGCAAGCTTGTGTATATAGTGTTGTTTGTGTTGCTAACATTCACCCTTCATTTGTATCAACAGGAGATGAGTTCGATAAGAACTCCAGTTCGAGTTCAGCGTCTCTGCCAGGTTTGTACTCACTATACTCACTCTTTTTTTTCTATATTTTGAAATATTTCATCCGCTTCTATCGGCAATTTGGTTATTGAGTAGAGTTTTTTCAACAATTTATGTTTTTTACCATATATTTCCATATGTATTTTAGGTAGGTCTAAAAATCTGGTAAATATTTTATTTTTATTATAATCTTAATGATAAAAGACATATTTGTTGAAATTACTAATCATTTGACACAAATCACAAATCATTAAAGCATGTTTTCAAAATTTAAATTGGTTGATATAGGATCCATATTTAAAATGAAAACAATAATTCTATATTATTTAAGAATTAAATTTTACGATGTTCTAAATATCTTTGGATATCAGCTTAAATAAAATTTGTTTTTATTTTTCATTATTTGTAAATGTATTTTAATAAAAAAACTTTTATTTTGGATATAGTTAGAATAAAATTACAAAGATATTTAGAAATAGACGATATATAATCAATGTGTATAAATAAGATATTTCTAGATTCAAAAAAGAAGAATATTAAGTATAGCATTTTCTGATTATTTGTTATTTCTGATTCTGTTTTTGTTATGTAGAAATTACGAACAAATATCTTGAAACTAGAAATATTTTTCTACTTACCACATTGGATTATTTTCTCGAAAATTTAACAAAGTAATATAAAAAGTCACTACACTAAATTAAATACTACTTACTTAATAAAAAACAATTAAAACATCTGCAAAATTATAATAGCAATATAAATTTTTAAAATTACTTTTAAAAAAATTAAACACAAACTATGCTTCTATACGTACTGATATTTTTTTAATATTATATTATTTCTGTTATACAGGGTTTTTCAATATTCCTTGGACATAGGACTGCTACGTATTTTTGGAATAAAATTAAGTGCTTCGTTGTCCGTCAGAGGGCGACAATAAAAAATCAATTAAACCTAAATTTTATGAAGCTTATTTTTAAAAAATTATTTGTGTCCAAATCCCAAAAATCCCAATTTTCAAATAGGTTATTTTGATTCCAAAAATACATAGTAGTTATATGTGCAGGGAATATTGGGACAGCCTGTATATAAAATCAAGGAATATAGAAGTGGCAGTTGTGTTAAAATTATAAAATTTAACAACAATAAAATAATACTAACAGAAAAATTAGATGAACCAATTGGCTATTCCAAATTTGTACTTTTAACACACCATATTTTTGTAATTTTTTTGACAGATGATACGTACCTTCGAACTGACAGCAAAGCGCCCAAATTGGGTAAAAGTGGCTGTCGTAAGTTTCATATTTTTTATATAAGATATTTATTACTATTCTTAGGCATGCCGTTGTATAAATGTATTATTACTTGTATAAAATTTCATTGTTATGTATTTTTTCTTTGTCCTATACCTTTCTAGATGCAGCAAGACTTAACACTCAACACAGACTCAACAAATAAATTATTTATTTTTTAATTATTTAATTTATTATTATATCCCCTCTCTCTAGCATGACTTTATTTTACAATAAATTAGAGCTTTTTAGAACTCGATTATTTGGCTAACAAAATTAAAAAAAAATGAAATATACAGTAATGTATCATAGTAAAGGTGCTTTATATTAATTTCATTAATGCTGCGCACATCCCTTATTATAAAAATTACAGATTAATATATTTTGATCAATATATGTTTATAATAATAATAGCTCCCGTATATAGCGTTTAACGCATTGGGAGAAGCAAGGTACAGCTTGCCATGCTAGAGCCGTTCGGTATACAAGGAACGTAATGTGGCTAGTACTAAGGTTCAACCGCCTATTATTACCTCAGGATTGTGAATCCCAAGTACTCATTTAAGGCTGAGTCGACCTAGGTACCCAAACTATTTTTATTTTATTAAAAATAGTCGGCTGATTAAATGCCGGCTGTAGGATTCGAACCCACAACCTTGAGATTGGTAGAGGAGAGCTGTACTTCTATGCCACCTCTAATAAATTTTAAAAAGAATCCTCTAATAAATTTTAATTTTATGCAAAGTATCAAAATAAATGTAAATAATATATATCCCTTTGTGAAGGCACTTTCAAAAAGCCAAATCAAATGTTAAAAAACGCTGCTCAGACTACCAAAACGTTGATCTAATAACACTTTGACGTTTAAACCATTACTTCAAAAACAACTTTGTTCCTAATAAGTATTCTCTATCAAGTATTGGTAATTATTTTTCTTAGTAATATCTAGCTGGATATACTAGTTGTAACAGAAATTTATATAATGTCTTTTAATATTAAATTTAACTAAGATATTGGTCAGAATATATTTAAATCAATTACCTTCAAAACCACCGTCAAAAAAATTCTGCATTCAAACCCTATAAGCCTTAAAAGCTTAAACATTTGCCTGATTTGCTTCAACATTTTTCTAACCCAGATTTTATTGGAATGATTCAAATCTATAGTCGATTTCTTTAAATTATTACCCCATTTTTATTTAGATATCTCCAAAAGAAATTTAAAAATTTGAAACAGTGATATTAGAAAGTAGAGTCAAATTCAAAAAGATTTAATTATTGTGTATAACTCCTGTGTAACATAAATATATCAAGGTAACAGGAACAATCAACAAAGAGAATACAAGTTCTTGTATTCAGTTGCTTTGACACTGTTGAATTTGACTTTATTCGCTGTTTTAGTGAAACCAATTGGCGAGTTTTATGATTTTATTTAACCTTTTGTTTTTTGTGTGTGATTTTTAGATAAATCCGTTTCGTTTGAGAAGTCAGTATCGTTTAGCGATGAACCACCCGATATGAATTCACCTAAACAACATAGTCCCCAACATGCAGGTAAAGTATTCACTAATTGGCCGAAAAACTAATCAAAATTATTGATTTGAAGTTTTAAATTTTCATTTTTCAATTAACTTCTGAATCACAACAGGATTTAATTCAATGAGGTTTTGGAAATGGTATTTTTATGTAAAAGAACTGAGATATACAAAAAGGACATTTTAAATTGTTATTATTATATACAAATTATAAATAAAATTTATAGAACTAGAAATACAGGGTGAGTTTCCTACTATGCTCTCTATGGGTATCTCGGAAACTACTGGAAATAGAGAGTCGGTTAAATCGGAAAAGCCATGAACTTTTTTAAATATCTGAAAAGCGCATATCTATGACCCCACAAAGCTGCAATTCTTTCCCCATTTAACCAATTCTCTATCTCCAGTAGTTTCCGAGATACCCATAGAGAACATCGTAGGAAACTCACCCTGTATATTAAAGTAACTAGACTGTGTTTTACTTGGCACAGTGAGTGTATAGAACTATCTGTAACAGAATCTAAGACAGATCCCTGAAGAATTTTCATTCTTCTCTTCCAAGATAAACCTTTGTATAAGTTAAATTCTAAACTAACTAATAATAATTAGACTAAAGCACCATCATTAATGATCATTTATAACCAAACGTTCTCAGACTTTGTTGAATAGAATTCTTCATTTTGTTTAACTCTCTCGACCTTATCGTTATTAGGTTCATTAATCTAACAGTCAAAACATTCAGTTCAACAAGTAGGTAGGGTATTAATAGGGTAAATTCTGCTCTTTCCAGGAATTTATCTAAGATAATTTGACAGAGAAAAGCTGGAACGAGTTTTAAATTTGTTAAGTTTCATTAATCAAGTCAGTTTTCTTAACTTTTATCTTTACCTCGATCTTTACTATCATAGTTAAAGTAAGGCTTAAAATAAAAGGATTCCGTCTTCTATATCCTCGAGTTCGTATTTTATGTATGTTGTTTTCTCATAATGAATATAATAAAGATATTAAAAATTAGTCTACTACCATATAATTGAAAAAAAAACGGCGTCAAAGGCGGCTAGAGAATGACAATCGATGCAATCGAAAAAATACACAAACCAACGAGAATTCACCAAAAGCCTTTTTAAATTTGGTTATACATTATACTAACCATGTTAACACGACAATCATGTACATGCCTTGTGGGGAGTTAATTTCTAAGAACAAAAGTGGGCACTACAGAAAATTATAAAACAAAAAGACTTTTTATTTCTTGTAAATTGCCACAAACTGGTTCGGTGGAAGTCAACAAACGTCGCTGCCTATACATAGAAGAGTCTCTTACTAATTAGATACAGGGAGCAAATAAAATTTTCATCAAGCAAGTTACCCTAGTAAGGTTCCCCCAAATCCGAATATTATTTATTCTCATATAATTAGAAGTAGATACATTGTAGTGGAAAATGACAATTATAGTGGAAAATATTCAACAAAACAATTCCATTAGTTCTTCCATACTTACAATGTTTAATACTTATACTAATTCTGAAATAACTGTAAAAATAGCAAATGAAGTTTAAAATGTATTTTATAATGTATTGAAATAGTAAGTTTTTTAAAAAGAAATTGATTTCAGAAAAACTTGTTCAATAATAATTATTTTGTGTCTGTAAGGAAATAACATTTCCTTGCAGTACAAAAAACAATATTTCCCTAGACAACTATGAAAATTAGAATCTATATTATTTATAGGAAAGATGTTTTGTCTATCGTGGTTGATTTGTGTAGTTTTCTGTAACCATACTGTATAATTTCTGTACATAAATTCTATATTTTCCCACGAAATAAACAAAACAAACCTTTCCATGTAAAACCTGTCCATTATAGAGGAAAATATTATTTCGGTACGTCGTTTTACTCTTAAATCATCGTTTTTATACTAAGTTATTTGCATGTTGTGTCGTTTTACTTTTTTCGTTACTAACTGCATACCTTTTTGATATGTTCGCTTCCCATCAGCGGATACCAAACCCACCAAACCTGCAATTAAATCATCCACGTTACCGAGAACGTCGTCCCAGGGTAAGTACGTTTCGATGGGTGTTCCCATTCATCATCCTAACCTATAAACTATGTAGAATTAATTATACGGGAAAATTTAATCAGTTGATAATTAGTTCCGTTTCAAATTTATATCATTTCAAAGGATATAAACGGGGGTTTACTGAGCAACACTTCTAATTTACCAATGTCATATACAAAGGATAATAATAAATGGATATAAATCAGGATTGATTGACGGATTCAATTCGTTCGTTTCACCGCAAACGACTTCAATTTTTGATTTTTAAAAGGTATTTTTTTACTTTATTTTATAGAAAATGAAGTGCGGTTTTCGAATGTAATACCGCAAGATGTTTCGGGATTACCGAATAATACTTTTACCTGACACGACATGCGTTACCCGGCAACCTATAATACCAACCTATACCTATAATCTTTTTAAAAGAACTTATCAACTGATTACTGTATTCCTCGGAGAGCGGTTAGATAGAAAATTAGTACCTGAAATTATCTCTTTTGGATTTTCCAGAACGAGATAGACTTAAACCCGCGCCTCCACCAAAACCGGCTTCTTTGTCACCAGGTCAGTATGACAGCCGGATATACAGGGACCTGCAGCTCACGCCCGAAATGTACAACCAGCTGAGGGGGCTGCAGAAGAAGGCCAAAGATCTGAGGGCGGAGGTGAGGAACCTGAGGAGGATGTCGCAGGCGCAGGCGCATTCGGTGAAGGAGACCATAAGGGACACCTTCATCAAGATTCGGGCGATGCTTCTGGCTGGGGGCGAACAAGTCTGGCAAGCTGGTAAGTTTATGACTATTCTTTTTTATTGATTGTAATTTTAATTATGAGTGGATCTTGCTTATGGAGGTCCTTTACCAGACTGTAATAGGACTGTTTTAGTTCGTGTTCATAATTAAATTTCTTATGCTATTTTATATAAAGTACGTTTACTGTCTATTAAAGGGATTTCAAGAATGCATTTTGCAAGTATTTTTTTTATATATCTTTTATATATCTGGCAGGTTTTATATACCGGGTGCGTCTCAAAAGCGGCAAACCCCTATAACTTTTTTATTATTTTTCAGAAAATCACACATGAAATTAAAGCACGTGTTATCTATGTATATTTTAAAAACGAGAAAGTAGATAAACGATAGTAGACCCGAGCTCGGAGAACAGTGCAGTCCTTATCGGTAAAATAGTTGGGTGATTTTTTTTTAATTTTCAACTTTATTCATTCGAAAAACTTCTAATAACGCAATTTAATTAGAATTTCTTTGTATAATAATCATAGGCAACGTAATAATGTAGATATAAAAAAATTATTTGTAATGTATAGAATTGAAGTGAAAAATCAGTGACAAAATTACGAAAAAAGTAAAAAGGTATCCGTGGCAACATTGCGACGAGCATTGACACTCTTCTATATTTATCATCGAACTTTCAAATGTATTAAGCCAAATGCCATAATATATCGGCACGTAGACGTTTTGAGCGTTAATTAGAAGCTGCCTTCATGAACTTCATATCGCGAGGATATTTGCAATTCAGACAACCCCAAGGCGAAGTGTTTCGTTTCTAAAACCAGTCAAATAACCCTTTTCTTTGTCCCTAGGGAGTGTATTGCACCTGCATCAATATGCATCGACGCATATAAGTCGAAATTTGACTTGCTAAGTGGAGATAGTTAATGCAGATTGTTCGGTTTGTCCCATACTTTATCCAGTTTACGGATGTGAAAATCTAATTTTGTCATTGGCTTGTAATTAATTAGGAATTAATTTACGTTGTAATTTTGCACGAAACCGTCAATTTAACATTTACACTTATTAATACCATAGGATCGAAAAAAAAACCAGCTTCAGCGATGGCTATGTAATTAAGATCGGTGTCATTTTATATGTAAATTTATATGGAAAATTTCATCTATCGTCATTTCCTAGCCAACAAATTAGGATTGATTGACGCATTCAATCCTTTTCGACCACGTTCTGTTTCACCGGAAATGACTACAACTTTTGATTTTTAGATGGCAGCCTCGATATTTTTTACATTATTCGATAGAAAATAACACTCTGGACAGAATGACATATCATATGTCAATTTTTGACATTTTGGCATATGGTTTATTTGAAATTATAACATAACGAAAATTTGACTCGAAATACCAAGTATGTGGTAACAAATTATTCGAAAAAAATGCTTTTTCCAAATATGCTAATGAGCCACTCTCGTTCTATTTGAAAAAATTGAAATATGATTAAAAATACGATTTGGGCATCTTTTAACCGGGCAGGACAAGACACTAAAAACATTAGACGATCAAATCTATTTTTCCAAGGCTCCTTGTTTAAAAATTTGTATTTTCAACATAGCCACATAATAATTGAATTTTAAAATACGATTTTTTATTAAGCGAGAATTTCAAATGTTGACATATGATATGTCATTCTATTCAGAATGTCATTTCAATCGAATAAAGTAAAAAAAATACCGAGGATGCCATTTAAAAATCGAAAGTTGTAGTCATTTCTGGTGAAACAGGAAGTGACCAAAAACAATTGAATACATCAATTTATGTCATATATAGTCTATAAAATGAATAACTTTGAATTTTGACCGTAATTTTTTACCAACATGACAAATATAAAATCCCTCTGTCAAAAAAGTTACTGATATTCTTTAAGTATTCTTTAAATTGAGTGCCTGAACGAATCAGATAGGTAACTCTTTTTACTTTCGTGAAATAGAAAAGGAAAATAATAAAACAAGTGACAGTTCTTCCTCTTCTTGCAAAAATCAACACTACTCAATCAAAATTCACACAAAATCGCATAATTGTCAAAAGTAAAATGTCATCAGCTTTTGACATTTCTAAATATCAGACCAATGCCGTCTCTAATAGAACAGCCTCGGAGCGAGATTTATGACGTCACGCTAATTAGATACGGATTGTTGTAGTAGGATGTTGTAGAATACATGGAAAACAAAATTATTCCTCGTATTTTTGGTTTGTATTTTAAAAATGATATAGTTTACATGAAATATACAGTTAATAAATATAATATATACCTATTTATAGTAATAAATACTTTGGCAAATAAACTATGAACCATACAAATGCAGCAAATGTTTTATAATATACAAATAATGAATAGGTAGGTACATAAGATAATGGGTAAAATGTAAAATATATTTTAAATTTCGAGGTTTGAAAATCGACCAAATTTAACAAAAAACATTCAATATCTACTAATAGTGATGTATTATTATTTGCATTCACAAAATTTATATGTCATATATTTTGCAAGTATCAATGTTCGAAAAATTATATTTGCAAATAATACAATATCATAGAAAAAAATGCGTCAGCGATAGCTATGAAATAAAGATCGCTGTCATTTTATAATGTAAAATTATTCTAAAATTTTTGATTTTCATGGGATTTAGGTTCGGGAAAAACGCTGATTAAGTTTTCATTTGGTTTTTCATTATTTTTTTGGTTAAAAAAAACGTTTCGGCTAACATTATAGCCTTAATCAATGTTGTGTCATATAAAAAAAATAGTGTCGAATATAATCCAAAAAATTGCATATAAAATATTCACACCACACACCACATAATGTTTACTGCAATTAATAAACTAATATACACTTGTCAAAATATGATCACATATTTTTTAAAATTATTATTCTTAACACTAAAACTATCTACATTGACTATGGAGTACGATTTCAGCCATAGTCAAATATAAGGAATAATTATGTTAGCGTGACGTCATAAATCTCGCTCCGAGGCTGTTCTACTAGAGACGGCATTGCGTCAGCATGGCCGCAAGTTGCTAACCTAATAAAATTAACACTAGAAAAGCCCGCGGGAACTGTCAAATTCAAAGTTATTCGTTTCACAGACTATACTAACATTATGCTATACTACTTTTCATTAAGTTATAAGGGTGAGCCGCTCTTGAGACGCACCCGGTATACAAAAAAAAGTATATAAAATCTTGTTTAATATTGAAATTCTTAAATCTGACTGATTTTTAAGGCATGGATCAAGAAAGAGTGCGACTTACCAGAGAAGAGGATCTGTACAAGCAGGAAATGCTGCGTTTAGAAAAAGATTTAGGTGACTTAGAGTCAACCGTGGAAGAGCTTAGGGGCAACGTTATCAACAGGAAAACGAGAGTAAACATGTCGGACGTGGAAAATATGGCTCTAATATTAAGTAAAAGCTCAAAAACCGTAGCGGATTTAAAACTAAGGTTAGTCGACCGATATTTTATTAGTGAAAACAATAATATGTTAATCTTTTTTTTTCTGTGCAGATTTCCAGGCCTACAAGACAGTATGAAAGCTTTGTTGACCACGGAAATGGATAAAATGATGAGAGAAGAGAAGTTTTTAAAGGAAGAACCCGAAAGATTGGAGAGTGCTTTGAGAAGGTGTAAAAAATTGACGGGTACACTTGTGACGCTCAAAAGGTAGATCTTTGTTTCTTCGTAAATAAATTTACTCTTGCTCTCTGTTACTCCATGAATTAATTATAATAAGCGTATTATATATTATTTATTACACGTAACGGTTATTATACAATTACTTACTAGTGAAACCTGCGACGAACTTCACCTTGAATTCTGACGTTAGATTGGCCTGTTTTAATTGTTTAATTAATATTTTTATTACTTTGAAAAAAAAAATTAAGGAAGACCGCGACGGGGTCCTAGAACGGTCGACTTAAATTTCGGTTTATCAGTGCCGTTCCAATTTTATTCAAAACGTCCCAAGCAGCATTTGGACGTCGGGACAACGTTGTGTCAAGCGACCAAACGTCGGGGCGCAACGTCGGCACAACCTCGTGCCAACCCTAGTCTGCACTAGTTTGGAGAATAATTTTTGGGTTTAAACGACATTGTTAATAAATGTTGGCTATTAAAATTGTTTAGTAAAGCTTTAACGTTTTTAATAAAATTAGACAAATACAAAAATTTATTAACACAAACATTCGATTTGTGTATCCTAAATTGAAATAGGTATAGTCAAATTATTTTCTAAATTCTTTAGTTAGAGACATATGTCAAATGGCAGTGAAGGAAAAAAAATAAAAGTATTTAATTTTAAGTGGAGGATGTTTGAAGATCATAATTATTGGAACACTTTAACCGACTCTGTAACTTTTTACCCAGGCAAAAATTTCGACGCAAACGACTGACATTGGTAAATGCAGATTTCGTCTTTGAAAAATACTAATGGGCTTTTAAATTAAAAAGTTTCTAATAAATTTTCTTTAATTTTTTTTGGGTTTAAATGAGAATAATCGTCATCGCAGTCGTCAAAATTGTTGTTTTAACCAGTTTTATTGGTTTATTTCAAAAAATGACAGATCGTATTTCAATTTTATTGGTTTGACGCAACGATGAACGACAAACTATGAACTCACCTTTAGATTTTGACGTTTGTCAAAGTCTTGCCAAATTATAGGTTATAATTTTGTGACAACTTTGTCAAATACCCTGCGTTTTGGAAGATGATGCATTTTGATTCGTGTTATTACAAGTTAATGTATCTTTTGCAGGAATTGCTATTTGGAGGAACGAATCATTTTCTTAATTAACAACATGGCGGCTTTCACTTTGTTGTTTATGGATTAAGATGCCCAGGCAGAAAGTCTTATACTGATACACCAATAAAGTTACAGTTCGGCCTTTCGTACGTACCATACTTCGCAAGATTGCCTAAGTTAGTCATCCTAGAATATGGCTTGTGCCGCCATACTATAATCTATACTAAAACTGGGAGTGGCTGTAAACATCGGTAATATATGTCGATGTATAAATAAATGGAGTTTTATATGCAGAAAAATAATGTCCCATTTTAATTAAGTTTTTTAAAAAATTAAACAGCATTGAACTGTCTAATTAAACAGACCAATGAAGGTAAAAATTTAAAATTTAAGGTTATGGTTCAATACAGTTGCAAAAAAGGTAGTGACTCGACGTCGTACCAACGTAAGAATCAGGAAATCTAAACAACGTTAATAGTTTGTTTTATTATGTTGTTTTATTTATTCCTGCGGAATATTACTGCAAATTCGTATTTGTACATAAGTTATATTGATAAATATAATTAGTAAATGCAGACGAAGTTTGCATAACGTTGAAGAATAGGTCCTGAAACTGACGTTTTTTATATTTTTTGGTATGTGGTGTCTTGTTTTTGTTTGTTTTGTATTAACACATACCGTTTTTATTAAATAAAATAACTCGATTACATTTTTTCAGTTTTATACAGTTTTTTTCACAATATTTTGAAGTTACTTGTCAGTCAAATTTTAAATATATTAATTTCCTGCTATGCGTTCCGGTTGTACCAACCTATTTCTTTGTAAAATAAAATAAACTACTTTGAAATTAAAATGACAGACACATCTATCACTGTCAAGGATCTTCTCGTTGGACAGACTATATATATTATATAGTCACTTACTAGCGAAAAGTTATTCCATTATTTCCCTCGATTTTTGACCGAGATCTACCGCACGCTACACAACCAACTATTTTAGTCTTTTTCGATAAATCGCAATAGTATCACTGTTAATTTAAGTTCTTCTATAATTTCCTTCTACATTTAAAAAAATATAATCTTTAAACAACTCTCAGTATTAGTAAATAATAAATAACATAAAATAAGCTCAGTAAAGACTGACAAATCCACGAAATTTTAAATCAAATTCAAATGTGTCAAATGAAACGTCAAATAGAACTGTCAAGGATCCCCATCCTAGGTAGGATCCCCTACTCTTTCCTTAATCTTTTTATTCAAAGGTTTAATATAGGAAATTAAAAAAATAAAATTTAATGAAATAATTTTTCCCAAATTGATATAAATCCAAGTTGGCCTAGATTTAAGTCTTGACAATAGCACAATAATACGAGATTAATTTTTGATTTTTCGTCCTTTGACCAACAGAACTACTGTGCTTTGCCCGAGTCCCCTAGCCAATTAAGATTAAACTTGTACTCCCTTTACAGACTGGCCAGTGTTCAAGAACAACGATTACCCTGCTCAAACTCGAACAGCGACAGCAGGCTGTCCCCGGGGGCGGGGGACACGCCCCCCGTCACCCCCTCGTCCACCCACAGCAAGGTAACGTAGACTTAGAACACTTTAATTATTGGTATATATACTGTGGCGGAGTTGTGATGTAATTTTGTCGATCTCGTCCGGTCGAGATGTATTATATCGCATGTATAATATTGTTGGCGGAGAATCAATTTGTATATATACGTTGTGAGTTGTTTCAGTTTTACTATATATGTAATTTTGATCGATATTTTTACCCAGTTTAAAGACCGATAGTTTTTATCAAATTATTGTATTGTTCCAATATTCTAAATTTTGAGAACCACTGGATCTGTTCTGGGTTTTCTTTCTTGTAAATTTATAATCTACTACCTATATTGCCATATTATCAATACATTATGTTTTTTAGCTAAAAACTAAGAAATTTTCCAAATTTTTTTATAAAATTCCAAATTTTCCAAAAAAAATTTTTCGCAAAAAATCTTATCGTGTTTCTGGGGTCGAAATATACTACCTATATAATATTTGCACTTATTTAAGACTCACCCTGTATAACAAGTGACATTTGTTCATTTCGAAGTTTATACTTTTCAAAAAATACGTTTACTGTGTACATCGAAATAATAAGTGAAACAGTTTTTAGTAACATTTCAGTAACAAAAATTATGTATCAAAAATGCAAATTGTATTCAGAATTTTTTATCCCTTAATTATTGTAATATTCAAAATATCCGCTTTTATTAAAACTACATAAAAAGCTCTTTCATTTAAACGAAAAATTAAATGCTTAACATATTATAATCTTCTTTAAAAAACTCAACGAACTTTCCCTCAACACAATCGTTTACCTCAAAATATATTAATGGAAATTATTTAAAAATTATAGTAATGAGTAATATATCGGCAACAAATAAGTTGCAACAATGCGTTTTAGAATGAAATTACAAAAATAAAAAATACCTATAATGGCCTTCTTATTGCTTTGTGCTTTGTAAGGCCAAAATGTTTTTTTAGATAAAAAGTTGAATGACCATTATAAAGAATAATGTAAACATAAAACATTGTTTCAATTTTCTCTAGCTAAAAACTAGGTGTTCGTATTTTCAAGATTCGTAAACGTTCCTAGTAAGGCCCATGTACCCTGCTAGGTATGGGCCTTTCTAGGATATGTTATCTTTTTCACAATCTTGACATACGTGATAAACATTTCTTTGTTTTTTTTTATACTATTTTTTCTGTTTTACCTTTGGATATTTGTTATATTATATGATTATATTATAATAATAAATATTACATTTTAATTATATTACTTTTTTTTTTGTTTGTTTAATAATTAATTTATTTTGTGTGTTGACAATTTTAAGTAAATAACCACCGCAACTCAAAACAGTCACAGATACATATTTTTTCACAAATCTTCAGCTTTATTTCTGCATTTTTTAAATATTTGCAACAGAAATAAAAAAAAATAAATCCAGATATCAACTAGGTAAGTTAAGAATCTAACAAAAAAACATTTTTATTAGTTCTATACTTATAGACAAATTTTCCGACAATTGACCAATGAGCTAAATAGTAAGCTGTGTTCTAATAAGAACAAAAATAATATTTTTTTTCAATTTTGCTAGAAACAGCTTATTTTTCTATATACAAATTGATTCTCGTCCATGGATTCTTTCAAAAAAAGTAAAAACTTTACCATAAACGTTAAAAACAAACGTGATTTCCACAACGTGTTACACGCATTTCCAATGTTACCTTAGCTATTTATACCTTCGTCATTGATCATATTTGTAAACAAAGAACTATAGAATCAAACGGTTGACCTATTTAATTTTTTTTCACTCGACATAATTTGAAAATCGTGTTTTTTTTCAGAGCGTCTCTATTTCTGTATAAATTTGTTTTGCATGTTGTTTGCGGAACGTTTGTACAGAGTGGTCTTATAATTAATCTGATTTTATTAAATGAATAAGAAAATTAGTCATGATTTTCTTCAGAAATTTTTTAAAGGTCTGCCTATGCTAAATACACATGCTAAATTTAAACAATTTTGGACAAACCAATTTAAAGTTCATGTCAAATAAACATTTAGTCACATGATTAAGTTTGACCGGCACAGCGTTGCCCACTTTTACTTATTTTCTTTTAATCAAAAGATTCTAAGAAACAAATATAAATTAATTATCTATACTAATATATAAAATCCTTAAGTGACTGACATACTGATTAATCACGATCCTGCTCAAACCACTCAACGTAAGAAGCTCAGTTTTGGCATACAGGTTGATTCTAGGGTGTAGAGGTTCGATAAGAAGGGATTTTTCGAAATTCCAGTTCCAAGAGGGTGAAACCACCCCTCAAATATTACAATATTTTTTATTTTAAAAATGGTCAAGTTTCCGAAAAAACACTTAAACACGTATATTTTATTTTGTTTTTTTACAAATTTTAAGATTTTTTAAAAATGTATACAGGGTGTTTCGAAAAATCTGGTCATTGATTTATCACGATCCTGCTTAAAGCGTTTGACGTAAAAAGCTGATTTTTGGAAAACAGATTGACTTTAGGGTGTAGAGGTTCGATAAGAAGGGATTTTTCGAAATTCGAATTCTAAGGGGGTGAAACTATCCCTCAAATATTAAAATATTTTTATTTAAAAACCGGTGAGTTTTCGTAAAAACTCTTAAACACGTATATTTTATTTTGTTGTTTTACATATTTTAAGATTTTTATAAATGTATACAGGGTGTTTCATAAAATATGACCATTGAGTAATCACGATTCTGCTTAAACTGCTTGACGTTTAAAGCTGATTTTTTGGCAAACGGATTGACTGTGGGGTGTAGAGGTTCGATAAGGAGAGGTTTCTCCAATCTCAAATTCCAAGAGGGTGAAAACGCCCCTCAAATATTAGAATATTTGTTATTTAAAAAACGGTTAGTCTTTCTGGAAAACTCTTGGACAAGCATAATTTGTTTGTTTTTTTTACGTAATATCGCCATATTGTTTTTCTCATGCTGACATAAATGTGAGAAAATTTTATCCAGTTTGTATGTTAATGGAAATTCTTGCTTTGCTTTATCATCACCATTACAAATGATTAATTCGACGGGAACGAAGTCGCTGGTACACGCTAGTAGTAATATGTATATACTTTATAAAAACGAGTTTCCAAGTTTGCAAAATATAAAGTTAAGTCAGAAAAACAAACTCTGTTTATTGCTTAACCACTCTGTATAAACTAATTTAGTAATGATCGTTTATACGCTAACGTGCAAGGCGAAGCATTGTACAGAAACAGATCGAATTACAACCTGCAAATGTTGGTAATATTGTTTTGCGAATATGGTCAATAGAACGACATAATATCCTGTGCTGTAGATGCATTTTTACTTACCCTGCCGATTACATTAATCACGTTTTTTATTTTATTTTCTAAAAATACTTACCATATATAGTTTGAATTTTACTACTAACAGACATTTTGTGCACAGAAAGCAAATTTATTAGCTTATAATATGAAAAAGATTTTGTAAAACAAAGCTGCTTTATACACTGTACATAATTACGTATTTTTGAAGATGTTTACAAGGATATCTTTGAAGAAATATAAATAATTTTCATTTTTTTAGATTATTCAGTAGGTAATAATTTTTACCATTTATTAGCTAAGTACTTTTTGACGAAAACAGTATACAGGGGCGTCTGAACTGTATTCCGGAAATTTCGGCTGCATATTCTGCAGATAAAAATAAGTAAAAAAGTTTGTATAAATGTATGTCCTAAAATGCTTAGTTTCGGAGATACAGGGTGTAGAAGTTTCATTTTTATTTCGATTTTTTTCCGAAAAATATTAAGTAACGGCAATATTTTGATGAAAATTGGTGTTTTGGAATTTTTTCACATGAGAAATTTAATTTTGATGTCAACATGCCTCCTACTTGTAGAGGGCGCCGCCTACATATGAACATTATAACTGGTTTGAAGCGGTAATAACTTTTCGTCCGTACCTGTATATTTCTTATATTTAAAGAACATATATTTAAGAAATATAATTAAATAAGTCCATATATTTAAAGAACGTTGTTACAATAACATAATTCTTGTTCCAATTTAATAAAACACATAAAATAAAATAATAGTAATTATAATTCATCAACGATATGCTTGTAAAACTCCAAAATTTTTCATTTTTTTTTCCAACAAAGAAATGACAATCACGTACCACCGAATTATGATCCACAACTTAATCTTTGCGTTATATATCCCTTATTCCCCAGTATTATTGATAAAAACATGTATTTTTTGCCACACAACTATTGTAGTACGACTGGAAATGGAGTTCCAACTTCAAAGAAGCTATATCCACTCACGAGTAATAACAGATATCCGTTTTATTTTAATGCTTGCCTTAATATTATTATTATTATATTTTTATATTCATGACTGTTTTCTTTGGAATAAATATATATTACATATTTTATTTTGATAAATGGATACATATTCGTTTTTTATATATGGTTCTTGAGTCGGTATTATAGTTTTTAATTTATTGGTCTAGATAATATTGTGTATATTTTTTTGATCTAATTTTCCTATATTGTCAATTTCCATTTTGCACTTCGAGCACTTTACAAAATTGCATCAGACATTTTCGAGCAAATTTTTATTTATATTTGTAGTCATAAAACCAAAATTGTAATGCTATGTTTTTTAATTATTAACGAAGGGAAAGTGTAAATAATTTAGAATAGATTTTGGTTTTACGATGCAAATATATTGTGCACATTTTTATTTTTATTAACCTTTAATCCACACCTGTTAAGCAACGTAATTTTGTAAAATATTGCTTTTATATTTTGTTTGTGTAAGTGTGAGGTACTTGTTGAGGACACATAATTTATGATGTATAAAATAAAACAATGTTTGTTTCTATCTAATATTATTTAATCAGTTACAAACGAAGAAAGAAAAAGCATATTATATAGGTCACTAGTATTCTTGAAAGTAATAACAACAAATATTACTATCAAGTATAAAAATGAAGTATTTAAATCTAT